ATATAATTTATGTTTCAAAATTACTTTAAAGCAAATTCTTAGTTTACAGGAAAGTCCGCTTACTAAGGAATAGATATGAATTTTCCATTTCTCCCTGATACAATATGCATTAAACTTCCAGTGTTTTCTAATGATTTGAAATGAAGGATAATTAATTCAACCACAAAATGTGGATTTAGAAAAAAGATGAAAGAATTAGAATTATAAAATTAGAGATTGGATTTGATAATTATTTTTATATACATTAAACAAATAACTATCTTTTACAACTATAACCTCCCAGAACTGCAAAAAGGAAGTAGAGTTTATTATGTGCCAGTCACTATGATAAGCACTTTATTTATTTCCTCTCAGTGAAATCTCACAATAATCTAGTGAGACAGGTATTATTTCCCCCACGACACAGAAGAGGCTACTAAAAATTAAAGGCTTTGATTTACTTAAAATTACATACTTAATGGTAAAGCCAGATATAAACAAACATTTTTCTGACACCAAAGCCCACACTCTCAGCCAATACACTGTATCGCCTTCATTTCATTTAGTGCACAGGGCATGTCTTTAATTTAGGAATGTAGAATCTTTCATTTAAAAATACAATCATGACCATCAGTAATTTTTTAAAAAAAGAAAGCATACATTTTAACTACTCCTACTCACCAAAAAAAACTGTGAAAAAGAAATAAATTTAGATAAAAGAAACAATATAGTTTATGCCATGATTTTAAATGAAACCAAGAGACATGCCTACCCCCAGCATGAATTGGCTAAAAGGTATAACTGTTTAAAAAATGTAAAATTAAGTCATTGAACAACATGCCAGCATTCCCCGGCCAATTCTTCCCTCATCTATCAATGTTATTTTATATTTATATTTTTCAGTTATTTTTAAACTCTCTTGAAGCATTCAGACTGCGTATGTTTGACTTGCCACTAGACACTGAACTTCAAGATAAAATTCTTATCTATTCCTTTACACGCATTACCTAGAACAAAGCAGTTTCTAATACTAACTTTAAAACATTAATTGATGTGCTTCACCAATTGCAAAGGACTTTCATACACACCAACTCAGTAATGGGTGTTCAATAAATGCTTGTTGAAAGCATTTTCTATTTCATGTAAATTTCCTCAGACAAAATCAAATAAAAATTACATTGCCAAATATCAAAAGCTTCCTTCACTAGCTCAAACAAAAGTGAATTTATATCAGGAAAAATATAAGATATAGGAAATATTTTTTTTGGTAGAGACGGGGTCTTGCTGTGTTGCCCAGGCTGGTCTCAACTCCTGGCCTCAAGTAATCCTCTTGCCTCACCCTCCCAAAGTGCTGGGATTACAGGTGTAAGCCACCCCACCCAGCCAATGAAATAATATCTTTAAAGTTACTATTACATATAAATAATAGAGATAGCCTACCCGATATTCACTCACCTCACTCTGCCTTTTAAAAGCATTCACTTATTTCTGAATTCTTGTACTGTATTTACAACTCATGAAAATGAGTAACACTGCTTTGTGAGATTTCTTGCACAGATATATAACAGATACTTATGCAAGTTCTAGCTCTTCAATTGAATTACAATCTAACAATATATGTGCTATATCTGGGGTTCTCAAAAGCACCTAACAATATTATATGTCTGGTAGCCATCTGAATAAATGTTTTATGAATGACCATAAGTATTCAAAAGTACTAGTAAAACTGCTATTAAATATAAGGCATACAATTTCAGATTACTGAGCCTAAATTTAATATACGGATTGGAAAATAATGCCTCCTCAAAAACAATCTGTACTTTCAGATCAAACATATTAAATATGCTAAAGAAGATACTTTCCAATTAGCTGATTTCTCTTACCTGATCAAAAAGAAGCCTCAGTTGCCTTTCAGATTCACCAACCCATTTGCTCAAACAATCTGCTCCTTTTCGCATAAAAAAAGCCACCTTTTTGTCTCCTTGACTGCATTCATTAGCTAATGCTCTGGCAACCAAGGTTTTACCAGTGCCAGGAGGGCCATAAAATAAACAGCCCCTAGAGGAATAAAGAATCAAAAAAGTGAGGTAAATTAATGTTATCACCACCACTGATAACTAATTTAAAAGGATATCCCTCCTTCCCACATAATCTTGTCTTACTATATTCTTAGACAGTGAGATAAAGCTTTTTCCAGCATATAGACAAAGTGTCACTTTGCTCAGTCCTCAAAGCACCAAGCTTTGGTAGACAAGAAATAGTTAAAATACACAGTAATTTGGCAAGATATACCAAAATTTTAAATGTGTTTCCCTATGATCCAGAAATGTCACATCTTAGAATATACCATACAGAAATAATCAAAAGAATGTATAAGGAGGGTCAGGCATGTTGGCTCATGCCTGTAACCCCAGTGCTTTGGGAGGTCAAGGCGGGAGGATCACTTGAGGCCAAGAGTTATGACCAGCCTGGGCAACAACAAGATTCTGTCTCTACAAAAAATTTTAAAAATTAGCTGGGCATGGTGGTACGTGTCTGTAGTCCTAGCTATTTGGCAGGCTGAGGCAGGAGGATCGCTTGAACCCAGGAATTTGGGGTACAGTGAGCACCACTGTACTCCAGCCTGGGTGACAGAGCAAGACCCTGTCTCTTAAAAAAAAAAAAGAAAAGAAAAGAAAGAAACAAGAATGTATAAAGATAAGGTTTTCCATATCCTTAAACAAGTGGAAAACAAATTAGAACCAAATCTGAATAAAAAGTGCCTCCTCTTGTTTCTTATGGATGAATTAAAAAAAGCTTTAAAAAAAAAGTGCCTCCTCTATGAAAAGACATTTATCAGTTTAAATCTAATAGTCTATAAGTATACCTTCAGAATATTTTATTCTGCCCAATCTCCTTTAACATAATTTCCCAGCGTTTTATAACAGTTCAGTGGCTAGCCATCTCATGATCAGACATAATCATAAAAATAAAATTATCATGCTCACCCTATTTCAAAAATACCCCATCATCAAGTCACAGAAACACTTCAATGAAATTGTGCTTCAAAAACTAAACAACATATAGCATCAAACTCCATACTAGTAGGAAGCCTAATTCAGGAAAATCCATTTGGGCAATCCAGTTGTATATTCAGGGACTACATAAAGAATTTCATTTTGTGCTTGACTCCTAAATCCTGAAATGTAAACTTTAAGAGCACACTTGGTTCCAAAGCCTCTGAACCCTAAATAATAAAATTTCATTCCTCATTGTCATT